GCAACATAATAATAATAATAATAATAATAATAATAATAATAATAATAATAATGTAATTAGGGAATATTAATGAAAGTCACGATCACTGATTAAACCTCTGAGAATTAGCTGGTAAGAAGCTGGTAAGAAGCTCTGAGAATTAGCTGGAAGACAAAAGCCTAAATTTATCATAACGGAAACCTTGGAGAGGTGTATTCCATTAAAGTCCAAGAAAGGGTCAGAATGACCCAGAATGATCATTGTCAGTAAGGCACTCCTGCCATAATTTTTGAGATGTACATAGTGTTTGAAGAGGTTTGATAAGTTTTACAAAAATTTCAGTCACACAGCTACCTTGCTAGCGTGACATTGTCCCCAACTTGTGAAAGGTACTGGAAGCTCTGTTACAAAAATGCATGTTTCACCTAAATACAGCAGATAAATGTTTTTGAGATGAATACTTTCTAATTTCAGCCTGGAATTTGGAAGAAAGCAAGAAAGCAATAAGAAAGAGCAGGAAAGAAAACGTCTCATTCATAAGCACAAACGTGAACTTAAAGGAGCTGTTCATGAGATCCGCAAAGATAACCAGTTCCTTGCTAGAATGCAACTTGCCGAAACCATGGAAAGGTAATTCATTGCTGTTTTTATGTTCCATTTAATTCATGTTGAGAGAAGTAAGAACCTGATAACACATATTACTCCAATCAAGTGCGTCCAGATAGTTGGGATGCATCTTTCATGATCCCTCACCATTCTCTGTACTACTTTGAGATTAATAGGAGTTGCAGTTCAAAAGATCTGGAGGGCCCTAGATTGGAAATGTTTGTGTAATGTGGATACAAAAAGCTTTTGAAAGTTAAACTTTTGTGTACAACTAGAGAAGGCAGCAGAGGGGTTGATCATATTTGGAAGAAAATAAACACCCATAATTGAAGCTTTTCATGATCATTTCCCAAGATTTTTGTTCTCACTTTGCTTTTCAATAAAGCATAATTATAAATTGGCACATGAGATTCCCCTATATTCTGAAGCCATCATGTTCTTTATTCTAGTCAAAGACTTTAACCTGTATTGAACATAGTAGAATGATTTGATTTTGTCTGCTAAGAACCAATCACTATTCTCAGTTCTGAAAATTAAAAAAAAATCCAGTTTGGTTCTTCTAAAATAATGACGATGTGGGTTACAAATCATGGTTCCTTAAATTTTCCAGTTGAGTTTCAACTATATCAAAAACAGAACTTAAGAAATATATGCAGTGTTTGTGTGGGTATGTGGTGTTATAACATTTGTGTCTTTTTTTAGGGATTCTGAAAGAAAAAGAAAAGTGAAACAACTCTTCAGTAGCCTTGCTCAGCAAGAAGGAGATTGGAAAGCAATGAAGAGAAAGAAGTTTTAAATGTCTGCTTGCATATTGTACAGAAGAAAACCACGGATATTTATATTTCTAGGATAGCTCAGAATATTGTGATGTTAACCTGGTTGGAAAAGTAAACAAACTGATGTAATATTATTATTGAGTATGAGGAAAATAAAATTCTATATAAAAGCTTAGATTGTATTTGTCATGCTTTTAAAAATTGGTTACTTTGTTGTTTTGGAACAAAGTCATTTTTTAAAAAAAATGACACATTATTTCTTTACAAAATGCTAAATTTTAAATAACAAGGATAGAAACCATGTTGGTCAGAAACATTGTGAATATTTAAGAAGCTAAGCTTCCTAGCCAAAGCCAAATGCACATGTTTACATGACTCTTGTTTTCCACTCACTTCACTCAACCTAAATCAAAGCAAGTATCTGATTAATTCCAGAGTGAATCTAATGATATAAAAACTATACTATTGAGCTCAAAAAATGGCTAACATATGCAGAACGGAAATGTTTCCTCAATTGCTTGTGTACAGGATCCACTCTTGACAACTAGGGTGATCTCAACGTGGGATCTTCAAGCATAGAGAAGTGTGCAAAATTGAGATGACCGTTAAGCCCTACCACACCTTTCTTTGCCTGTCTAGTTAATATGAATGCCAAGTGGCAAACAAGTGACTCTCTTCAATCAATGTTTTGCCTTTTCTTATATAGTAAAACTTTGACCTAAGAGTTTATTTCCGTGACTGAGCTCTTAACTCAAAATGCTACTATCTGAATTTTCCAATTGAAATGCTATTAATCGGTTCTGTCCCCTCGACACCTCCCCTCATTCATTTTGTTATGTGTTTTAAAATAAGAAAATGTACTTTATAAATAACAAATAATGTATAAATGCACATTCACATGGAACAATAAAAAAGAAAGATCAGCTATAAAATGATACAAGCACAAAGTAGTGGCAAGGAAGCACATTTCGGGCAACAAAATTTGTGTTGCCCAGTGTAACAGCAAGGCAAGGCCTGCACATTCACATGGAACAATAAAAAAGATCAATTTTAAAATGGTAGAAGCACAAACTGAAGAGGAAGAAGCATCATTTTCTTCATACTGTACTCATTACAGCCTCTCTCCCACTCTTGCTCCCTCTCTCTCTCTTCATGAAGCAAGCATACCAGGAATAAAAATCACACACAATCAATTAACCCAAGGTTCCTCAAAGTGGACAAGAGCCAAGCAGGCAGCAATCTTGCAGAGCAGACAAGCACAAGATAAGGAGGCTGCTCCCTTGAAGTCCTGTACTCTCGCACTAGCTCTTAACTCAAAATGCTGCTCTTATGTCAAAGCCGGTCAAGCAACAGCTTTTAACACTCTTAAGTTGGGATGCTCTTAAGTAGAGGCTCCACTTTATGTTAAAGGAAAAAGGTGCACCAATTTATACTGGTGGGAAGCATTTAATAAATAACACTGATCAGCACACATTTTGGTGCCTCAAAACAGCTCCAGCCCAGTTTACCTGTCCGAACGCATCTCCCTTTACGAACCACTGCAGAAACTAAGATCTTCTGGGGAGGGAGGCCCTGCTCTTGGTCCCGCCACTATCACAGGTGTGTTTGGTGGGGACAAGAGACAGGGCCTTCTCAGTGATTGCCCTCCGGTTATGGAACTCCCTTCCTGGCAATATTAGATCACCCCCTCCCTCCTGTCCTTCAGAAAGATGGCGAAGACCTGGCTGTGGAACCAAGCCTTTGGGGCAGTGCCATGAGGCAAAATGGTGTCCTGAGATGGTTTTTAAGTAACTTTTAATGTGATATGATTTTAATGTTTGTATATATTTATGGTTTTATATCCCAGCATTGAATGTTTGCCATATATATGTTATGCTCCGCCCCGAGTCTACTGTGAGGTGAGAAGGGCAGAATAAAAATGTTTTAAATAAAATAAATAAATTGATAAAGACCTACTTCTGGATATATTTGACCTTCAGCTAAGGGCCCTTCCACACTGCCCTATATCCCAGAATATCAAGGCAGAAAATCCCACATTATCTGAGTGAACTCAGAGAACCCACTTCAAAGCAGATATTACGGGATTTTCTGCCTTGATATTTCAGGATATAGGGCTGTGTGGAAGAGCCCTCAGAGAACCCGCTTCAAAGCAGATATTGTGGGGTTTTCTGCCGTTACATTCAGGAATATAGGGCTGTGTGGAAGGGCCCCTAGTGTACACTCAGATGTGGTTTCCAATTCCTGCCATTATATTCTGGGATATAGGGCTCTGTGGAAGAGCCCTCAGATAACCCGCTTCAAAGCAGATTATTATTATTATTATTATTATTATTATTATTATTATTATCATTATTTGTACCCCACTAGCATCTCCCGAAGGACTTGATGCGGCTTACAAAGGCCAAGGCCTCAAAACACAATATAACAATACAAAACCTAAAGCAAATTAAAAACAATTAAAGCAATATTAAACAACAAGCAATGAACAATACACCAAGACACAATAAAACTGGGCCAGGTCAGAGTAATGGGTACAGAATTAAAAGTGCTGATGTGACAGGTGATATATGTGGAGTTCCCCTTTGCTGTGGAGTTCCCCAGGGTGCTATCCTCTTGCCCCTGTTATTTAACATCTATGTCCGACCACTTGCTGGACTGGTGCGGAGCTTTGGCATAGAGTGCTACCAGTATGCAGATGATACCCAGCTACTCTTGCGTCTCGAACCTGGAACAACTGTGATTCCTGAGAACTTTAAGCTGTGTTTGGAAGCAGTGATGAGTTGGCTGCGAGCAAGCAGACTAATGTTTTATGTTGAATGTTTTTATGTTGAATGTTTTTATATTGAATGTTTTTATATTGAATGTTTTATATTGTGTATAAACTGTTTTAAATTGTAAGTCGCTCGGAGCACCTTGGTGGAGAGCGACTAATTAAGAAATAAAGTGATGATGATGCTGATTATAGGGTAAGTGCAGTGTGCAGTGTGCGGCAATCTTAATTCTAATAAAGTGCTTCTGGGACTTGTTATTGGAGTTTTCCTACTCTGGGAAGGCACATCGGAACAGCCAGGTCTTCAAGTTCTTTCTAAAGACTGCCAATGTAGGGGCCTAAGATCTTTGGGGAGGGTGTTCCAGAGTCGGGGGGCCACCACAGAAAAGGCCCTGTCTCGCGTCCCCACCAAATGCGCCTGCGACGCAGGCGGAATCACGAGCAGGGCCTCTCCGGATGAACAAAGTGAGCGCGTGGGTTCATAAACGGAGATGCGGTCACGCAGGGAGGATGATACTATGGGATTTTCTGCCTTCATATTTTGGGATACAGGGCTGTGTAGAATAACCCAGTTCAAAGGAGATATTACGAGATTTTCTACCTTGATATTCTGGGTTATATGGCTTTTTGGAAGAGCCCTCAGATAACCCAGTTCAAAGAAGATATTGTGGGATTTCCTGCCTTGATATTCTGGGATACAGGGCTGCGTGGAAGGCCCCAAGAAGTGTCAAGCTAAGGCCTCCTCAGCCTGCAGCCCTCCAACTCCCAGAATCCCTCGCCAGCTTATTCAATGGCCAGGAATTCTTGGCGTGTGAGGCCCAAAGCGGAGGAGGAGGCCTGCCTCTCAGCTGAGGAGGAGAAGAGGGCGGCGGCCTGCCCGCCCTCCCGCCCCGCAAGGATGGAGCCTGGGCGTCCCGCCGCTTCCACGCCAGCCGGGGATCCCTCAGGGAGAAAGAGCAGCCTGGTCCCGGAAGAGGAAGACGGCAGAAGAAGAAGAAGAAGAAGCAGGCGCCGTGCAGGAGGAGCTTCCTCAGGAGCCGGCGCTCTCTCCGACAGAAAGGTGGTGCTGGGCGGGAAGCCGGCCTCCTCCCGCCTCTAAGGGGAGCCGCAGCGCCTGCACCCCGCTTCCCGTCCTGTGGCTGCCTCCTCCCGCGGAATGCTGGGAATTGGAGTCCACGGAGGCCCAGGGCTCTCTGGCTGAGGGCTCTCGAGTGGCGCGTCGCTCAAACTACAAGACCCAGCATTCTGCAGCCCCAGGATGGAAAGCGGGATGCAGGCGCCGCTCTTGTAATAAGTCAGGTAAAGACCTTCCTCAGCCAACAGGGGAAGGAGAAGGCGTGGCTTGGAGTGGTATGCTTTTTTGGGGTGGGGGGGGGGGGTGGTTGTGTGTTTTGAAATGCATTTATTATGTGCCAACTGAATTTCAACCTAACGCAGACTGTACTCATTCATCGCTTTGGTACTGTTCCAATATCCAAACTGAGACCAAAAGGGGGCGCTAGACAGAGAAGGACAGTCCATGTTACAGGAGGGGGGGGGGGGGGGGGGGTTGAAGGAGGAAACGCATTTTCCCCATTTTAGCTGGTTATATACCTTGGGAAGCCAGATCTGGCCACGGTGGTCCACGCTCTTGTTACATCCCGAATAGATTACTGCAACGCACTCTACGTGGGGTTGCCTTTGAAGACTGTTCGGAAACTTCAGTTAGTCCAGCAGGCGGCAGCCAGATTACTCACCGGAGCGTCATACAGAGAGCATACCACCCCTCTGCTATGTCAGCTCCACTGGCTGCCGATCCAATTCCGAGCACAATTCAAAGTGCTGGTTTTGACCTACAAAACCCTATAAGGCTCCAGCCTGTCCGAACGCATCTCCCTCTACATCCCACCTCGGAATCTGAGATCATCTGGGGAGGCCCTGCTCTCGACCCCACCTCTATCACAAGTGAGGCTGGTGGGGACGAGGAGCAGGGCCTTCTCGGTGGTGGCCCCTCACCTGTGGAATTCACTCCCGGGGGAGATCAGATCAGCAACATCCCTCCTCTCCTTTAGAAGGAAATTAAAAACGTGGTTATGGGACCAGGCCTTCGGGCAACCTGGCAGCTAAGGACAATGGACGACTAGAATTAACAGGACTGACAATGTGAAATTGAAACTATGGACTATGAGATGGCGAACGCTGAATGCTAAACTGGTTTATTGACGTGTTGTAGAACTGAAAACCGACCGTTTAATTGTTTTTAACTGTTTAATTGCTGCTATACTGTTTTTATTGTTGTTTTGTGTTGTATTGTTGCCGGCATCGAATTGTGCCTTTGTAAGCCGCTCTGAGTCCCCCTCGGGGTGAGAAGGGCAGGGTAGAAGTGTCTGAAATAAATAAATAAATAATATACCCTCTTCCCCACTTTCCATATCATAAACAATTGTTGTTTTTATGATGGTAACATGGCTGGGGGGAATAACAGGAAAACTGGGGGAAATGGTTTTACTCCACTCCGTAAAATGGACTTTTCTCTGCCTAGCACCCCCTTGTGGCCTCCACCCAAATAATGAAACAATACCAAGGCCAGATATAAATAAATAAAGTATTAGGCTTGTTTGATAAAAAATTGTTCAAAACTCATTTTGGATAATAGGGGGCACTGGTGGTTCGGATCTAAAGTCAATTCCGATTTTCACAGAAAAAAAGTTCAAAACTTTGCGAAACTTCCGAGACTTCCAAATCCTTCGTTAATGGTTTCAAAGTGTCATTTCCAGTTTCATTGGGTGGTCTTTACTTTGAAAGTAGTTGTTTTACTCCAGAAAGGGGGGGAGCAAAGGGAAATCTATCCACTCTGATTAAAACTACTTCTCTCGCTTATGAAGCGGGAGGGAAAGGAAAGGAAGGGAATCCATCCACACTGGTTAAAACCACTTCTCTCCCGGGAGGGAAAGGAAAGAAAGGGAATCCATCCACACTGGTTTAGCATGCTTCTCTGGCTTGAACCGAGGCCAGGGAACAGAAGCAGGGGACAAGCTGAATCATTTCCGACTCACTTACTGATTTGTAAGAGAAATGGTGGAAAAAGCTTCAGAAGGGCAAAGAGACTTCTGATTTCCTTAAACATTTCGAAATCTCTTCAAAAAGGAAATATTTCCGAATTTATTCCGAATCACGAAGATTCCAACCGAACCTAACCATGCCATCCTTATAGATAGATAGATGGTTCCCGAATTATGAACAAGATAGGGTATTGTTCCATTATCCAGGCATAGGCCACTAGGGGGCACTAGAGAGAAGGATAGTCCATTTTATGGGGGTCGAGGGTGGGTTGAAGGAGGAAAACCAAGAAAACATTTCCCCCTTTTCCTGTTATTCCCCCATGTCCCAGTCATATAAGCAACCCTCGTTTATGATATGGGAAGTGGGGAGAGAAAATAACCAGCAAAAATTGGGAAATCTTTCTTCTTTTTACTCTCCCCCCCCCCCCCCCCCCCCGTAAAATTGACGATCCTCTTTCTAGTGCCCCTTTATGGCCTCTGCCCGAATAATAGAACAGTACAGTATTGACTTTATTTAATTTATGTCCCCTAGTTATAAACAAGATAGGATTTGTAGGTTTATTCTGAAGTTGAATTTGTATGTAAATCAGAACAGGTTCATTTTTAGGTGTATCTCTTTTTACCTTGCCTGTTGTAGGCAGGCACACTCAGCGACAATAGGATCATTTTGACAAAAATCTCATCCTTTCCTGACTTAAGCTGCATTGTTTACTGTGTTTTTCCAGCCCTTCTTCATCACGCTCTGTGGCTGATGCTGCTAAACAGCTTACAATTAGAGGATAAGGAAAGAAGGAAGCAGGAAAGAAGGAAGCTAGGCAGGAAAAAAAGACTTTGTAAACAGAATCTCCATTGCCAGAGGCTTTCTTAACTGGCGTGTGACTGTATTCTATTTCTTGTTTTTCTCCAGTGCTCCAAGGGCTGGTACCATTTGCACATATTGATATTTTATTCCAGTTGTCTCCAGGAAACTGACTGCAGACCCAACTAATACTGTTGCACAGACCACAACTTAGAGTAGCATTTAACTATACTATATATTACAGATCATGATGATGATGATGATGATGATGATGATGATGATGATGATGATGATGATAAACAACCTAGGGGTGTGAATAAAAGTTTAGTAGAGGTCATGAATATTTTGAGCAAATTTTGGGGAACAGTACTGCAGTGTGGGCTCAGGTCTGCCCCAAGAATGATAAGAAGTGCAAGTTTATCTCTAGAATCTCAAGATATTCAGGAGCCTATTCCATAATATACAATTCTCTATTAAATTTAATATGCCAATTTAAATTTATGCAAATTAAACAAATCATAAAATGAGTGTTTCTTAAATGAAAATAGTCAGTTGATTTGTATTCTCTGCCACATCATCTCTAAGAAGTAGTTCCTCTTTAACTGTAGTATTGACCTCTCTCTCTCTCTGTCTGCCTGTCACTCTATTCTCTCTTTTTATCCCTTCCTTGTTAGACTAATACTTCTTTTTCAGAGCACCTAGCAAGCTCCAGAGACCTCCAGGTTGTTCTTCTCCTGTGAACAAGGAGAGAGACAATATATCTACTGTGAATTAGTTAGTTAACTAGATAGCTGTATGTTCTCTTTTCTATCTCAATATGTAGTTCTTTAAATAAATTTGTTTTAAATAACTTTTAAAGTTTGACTCTGTTCCTGAATTGCTAAAACTCAATTGCGCTACTGCTGGCACTAGAAGCTTCTGATCTACTGAACTGTTACTGCCGTTGTTGCTGCTTTACATTTTTAAATGCTTTTTCCTTTTTGAAATCGCCTCCAATGAAGTCTGAGCCCTGCCACATTCACAATAGAGGACTTTTCTACAGCGACACCAGAGGCACTTTGAGTGCCTCTGGCGTTGCTGTAGGAAAGTCCTCTATTGTGAATGTTTTTGGTTAAAGGAAATTTAGTATAATGCCAAGTTTTTAACTTTGTGTTTTTTCTATACAATATAACTGTATTCTCAGTTTGCTTCTGACACAAATAAATAAATAAACCCCCAATATATCTTTCTCTAGAACACAAAAACATAGAAGATGCTACGGGATCAAAATCAGGAAAACAGAAGGCCTTTGACAGGATCATCGGGACCTGAAGAAAACTCTAATCGCGTGATCGTCATTGTCTTCGTTGCTCTCCTCATAGACCTCTTGGGTTTCACCCTTATCCTTCCACTCCTTCCTTCAATACTTGATTATTACAGCAAAAATGATGTAAGTAACCCCTGAACTGTACTTATTAAAACTATTCTCACCCCACATGTCAGAGGAGTGTAGCCTTCCAGTAATATATCACTGTGTGCGAAAGCCCACAATTCTTTGAATTTTGTCTTTACAACAGGGGTGGGCAAAGTGCAACTTTGTTTTATGCTCCCATAGTGTTATCAATGCTCACTAGATTTGTATTATTTTTTAAAAAAAAAAACACAGACATTGTGATTTGTTATCTTTATTTGCCTTCAAAATTGGGCAGCAGCCTGTCCATAGGAACTATAATTAAATCTACTATTTATAGTGTCAGAGTCTATTCAGTAATATCTATAGTGAATATTATTATTAATTGCTTTATTTATATCCTGCCTTTCTCCCTGAGAGGACTCAAGGCAGCTAACAAGCACACACTTTGATCAATTAAAAAAAACCCTCAAAATTAAAAATTAAACAGTACTGTGAGTGTTATGTTAAAAATACAATTAAAATACAATAAATTAAATAAAAATGCATTTAATACGCACAGACAAGTATTCCCCTCCCCAGCAAAAAAAAAAAAAACAAAACAAAACAAAACAATCACAACCTCCCCAGCTAAGTGCCCATGATTCTTCTTTAATTACTTGATAAGCTTTAATTACTTGGTAAGCAATTAACCCTTCTCTGCTCTATAAACAGTCGCATACGTGTGCTGTGTCTCTCTCAGATGCCTGAAGACATAACTCCTTTCTTCTCACCCTATAACATGGAAGAAGGTGCACACAATCATCCTTCAAATGAGAAGGAAAGATAATGTATCTCTCCCCTTGCAATTCTCTGCCAAAGTTTTTTTTTATGTGAAATGTTTAACTACTGACATTACAGGGGAATTTGGTAACTACCACTCTGCCTCAACCCCCTTCTAGATAATTTATCTGTGCTACTGTATCCCTGGAAGGAGCTCTGTGGTTAATGTTTCTCAGCCATAGTTCCTCATTTTGAAACTGAAGAAGGGAAGCACATTTCCCCCACTTATTGGCACATTTTCGTTTCGTGGGTTATTGACTTTACACAGGTGCGATCCGTTAAATTGATTTTAATTGTGGTTTAAAGATTTTTATTTGAATGACTGAATGAGTCATCTATGGGAGAGGAATTCAGTTCATAGAGATGAAAGGGATAAAAGGACCAGGGCCTTTTTGTACTTGGGACCCCTTCCTGTCTGAGAAATGTTTATGTGACCCATTACTTCTCTTTTTCATTTAATTCTCTGAAGTGGCAGAATACAAGCTTGCTCTGTCTTCTATGTGATATCCCTTCAGATATTTAAAATAGCCTTTGTATCATTTCTAAGAGGTGTGTGTGTGGTGGTGCAGCAGTTTAAACTGCTTGCTGATTGAACTTGTTGACCAAAAGGTCAGTGGTTCGAATCCGTGGAATGGAGTGAGCTCCTGTTGTTAGCCCCAACTTCTGCCAACTTAGCAGTTCAAAAATATGCAAATATGAGTAAATCAATAGATACTGCCTTGGTGGGAAGGTAATGGTGCTCCATGCAGTCATGCCAGCCACGTGGAGGTGTCTATGGACAATGCCAACTCTTCAGCTTAGAAATTGAGATGAGCACTTTGTAGCCTTTTGCCCTTACTTTTTGCAGCCAGGATTTCAGGGCCTAGAGTAAGTCTGCCAGCTAGTTTGCAGCTTAGGTGGACTTGGCGAAGCTGCAGCAGCCATTTTAGTGCAGGGAAGCCACCATCTTAGAGAGAGTTTAGAGAGGGGGAGTGTCTTAGGCCTGAGTCAGCAGAGATCGACCAGGATTGGTTTAGAAAAGGGGGCGGAGTTTAGAGAGGCTTGGAGGGAAAAAGAGCCTTTTAAGTGACAGAAAGGGAGAGTTGAAGATTAGGTTTTGAAGAGAAAGGATGTGTGAGAAGTTTGTGGTTTTAAGAGTTAGGAGAGGGCAAAGTTTTGCCAGTGGTTTGCCAGCAAATTAGCTGAAGCAAACTGTCAGCTATTAAGGATATAGCTGGGTTGTATCTAGATAGGACTAGGTTAGTGTATCTGAGCTATAGAAGAAATCCTGACAGAGATTTGGTTCCTGTTAAGTTTTCTTGTTGGTGAAGAGAAGAAACTCTTTTTATTGTAACAAAGACAGAACCATTATTGTAACCGCTACGCATTCAAGACAAAAGCAACCATTCTCTGTAACAGCCAAGATATTGAACTGCACTTACTTTCCTGTTTTTCAATCAATAAACTTTCATTGATTATTTAAATTTAAAAGCCTGACTCAAGTGTGCCTTTGTGGCTAAAGTTTCCTACACAACCTCAACTGTTTTAAAAAGAAGAAACAATAGGGCACAGTGTTTGGTGGTCTCAAATAGATCGTTAATATTAGACAGCTAGAGAGTTCCTTTTTACATTTTGGTGGCAGCGGAAGAAACTTAAAGATACCCCTCAAACATCATAATTGTTTCCAGTGATGTGGGATTGATTATAGTATATCCCCATCTTTATAAATTGTGTGTGGATGCTCGAATACGCTAGTGCCCGGTTCTTTATAATTGGTGTACAGCGGAGTGGGATCTGATATTGTTTGATCCTCGAAAGGCAACTCATTATAAGCACCACCCCCCAGAGTCGGACTCGACTAGACTTAATGTAAGGGAAACCTTTACCATTATAATTTCTAAGCCTTTTTTTCTCCAAACTAAGCATACCCAGCTTTCTGAGCTGTTCCTCATAGGGTTTGATTTGCTCAACTTTTACCACATTGGCCACATTCCTCTGAACAGATTCAAACTGTCCAAAATCCTTCTTGAATAGTTCTTCCCAGAACTGGAACCATTATGCCAGGTGATGATTTATTTATTTATTTACAGTATTTATATTCCGCCCTTCTCACCCCGCAGGGGACTCAGGGCGGATTACAATGTACATATACATGGCAAATATTCAATGCCATAGACACACAACATAGATAGACAGACACTCAGAGGCTATTTAACATTCCAACTTTTTCTGGCCACCAGGGAAGCTGTCACATCACCATTCATCTGCGACACCAATGAAGTACTTCCTCATTCCCTGCATGTTTGCTGGAGATTTTAATGGCCTCATAAATTAGTTAAATTAGCCTCCCCACATAAGTCATACCTAAATTTCCTACTTGACAGATGCAACTGTCTTTCGGGCTGCAAAGGTCAACAACAAGCTACACAAATTGGTCAGAAGCTCACTCCGACCCGGGCTGGCTTCGAACTTGTAAAGGAGGACTGCTACACAAGCTGCCACCAAAAATGTAAAGGTCCACTAAAAAATGTAAAGATGGCTACTAAAAAAAAAACCTGCCACCAATTTGTAAAGATCTATATTCGATTTGTAAAAGGCTCTTGTATTAATATCACTGGATGCCACCCTATTTGTGTTGTGAGGTAATTATGGTAGATTGGGTACACCGAGCGTAGAATAAATGGAGATGAGGCAGTTTTTAAAAACCAAAGAGAACAAGTTTATTTGAAACAAAGCGTATGGTTACAGTTTGATGTTGAGCTTGGCAGATGCTTGAAGAACGATACATGTAACTTGGTTGTGATACAGTTCAAACTTCCGATGTTACAACTTATGAAACTCTTGCTGTGGTGAAGCACTTAAAAACAATGTTTTACAGTGGTGAATAGTCTCCCTGTTTGATTCTTCTGTGATCAAACACCAGATCTCTAGTTCTCTTAACTAGGGATCCAAGCAAGCCTCTGTTAGTTCTTTCTAACTAAAGAAACTAACAAGGTTTTCCCCTTCAGCTTTCCTAACTGAAGAAATCTCTGACTATTCCCTTCTCAGAGTCTCAAACACTGACTGACTCTTCCCTTCTCAGAGTCTCAATCCTAACTCTTCTCTTCTCAGAGTCTCCCTCCTGACTCCTCTCTTCTCAGAGTCTCCCTCCTGACTCTTCTCTTCTCAGAGTCTCCCTCCTGACTGACTCTTAACTGTCACTTTACAGAAAACACTCTCCTCTAAGCTCCTCCCACTCCTCTGCAGCATCGTTTCCATGGTAACACACTCCTCACAGCTAGGCTGCTCCAGCCTTAGGGCAACCAAAGCAAACATAAATACAGTTATAATCATATTATTATAAACACTTCTGTACAGAACTCATGACCAGTAGTGATCTTAATGCAGCTGACTCTCAGCCAGCTGCGCCACAGTCCCAGTGATCTCTGGCCAAATCAGAATTAACTGGCACAGTTGCTTTCTATGATCTAAATACTATTCTCCAGTTGACACTGGCTAGAATTGCATTGTCCTTTTAGGTGACTGCATCACACAGTTGACTCCATTGACAATAGTGGCGAGGCCTGCAGTACATTTGGCAGAAAAAAGAGAAATGGCAATCATGTTTGTAGATTCCAGGAGGCTGGAATATTCATTTTGCTTTTCACATAACTATAAGACTTTTTTTAAAAATTTTACTAACACAGTGTTTGGATTTTCAAAGTGTAAGAAAAATGCCCTGATCAATGTCAGTTAACACGTCTGCTGTTGCTGACAAGAAGTCTACTAAGGGCACTTCCACACAGCCACATAACCCAGAATATCAAGGCAGAAAATCCCACAATATCTGCTTTGAACTGAGTTATTTGAGTCCACACAGCCATATATCCCAGTTCAAAGCAGATAATGTTGGATTTTATTCAGCTGTGTGGAAGAGACCTAAGATTGATAACCTTGGTCAATGAGTATCTGCACCAGGCTGCTTCCTGGATTTCTAGAATATGACAGCTGACATCCCTAGTTTGTCCCCTGAATCGGAAAGATCCTGAACTCCTGTTAAAGAGAAGTGCAATAAGTGATTTCTAAGTGTTACTACAATAAATTCCCAGAATTTTTATCTTTTAACAAAATGGTGTAGCAATAAAGTTGGAAGATCAAACCAATGTCTTTTTTAAAAACCCAACCAGGATATTCCTTCTCCAGAGAGAAGTTATCTTCTCATTCCTGTTCTTAATTTATATGGAGGAACCTGTTAATTGCTTCCAAAGCAAATTAGTAAAATGTTAGCCAAATTATACTTTGATACATCTGGTAGGAGGGAGAATGATGCCTCAGTTGTTTGTTCGTCATTAAAATGCTGTTGCACATTTTACACTTTGTGTTGTTATAAACCAGCAGTAGCTTTTTGGAATGTCTTGTGTGAATGTTCTGAGAAATAATAAGACTTGCAGATTTGATTTTGAATATTTTTGTGTGAAAAGTCGATCTACTGTGGGAGGACATGAGAGTACACCACCCTGGATGGCTCTTCTGAGTTCACCATGTGGTCCCATCTGTGTGTACTCTTTCTCTTCCGCAGAATGGTTTGTACAGGAATTTGCAGCATGGAGTGGACTGGTTCAGCGAAGCAATTGGTGTGCCTCCTGAGAGGAAATACAATGCTGTCTTATTTGGAGGTATGGATTTAATTCCCATATGTGACTGTTTTAAAAACAGTATGATGATGAAATTGACTTTGTCCATGTTACGTGGTTCCTTTATGTCTCAGTATACTAGCTCGGTTTGTTTGGGAACCACAACTTGTATGGTACATGGAATTGTATGCATTTGATTGAGGCATTGAGCCATCTGTGGAGTATGTTAGGGTCACTAATACTGTATTAACAGTCCCAATTGCACTGAAGATGGGAATGGACTGATTGAAGGAAGAGATGGCATTATATGTAAGCTCCATGTATATATAATCTGCGACAGTTTAAACGAGAGTCAAACATAATTTCTAGAAAACAGGCCTGAATATTTAATACAAGAATGTAAAGAATGAATAATTTTACATCATCCTACAGGTATAATATGAGGGTTGAATGAAAAGTAATGCCTCCACCTTCATAACTCCTCAACAGATGGCAGTACTGGTATGTGGCAGGTACTGGCTTGTTCAGTAGACTCTCCTCTACAGTTTCATTTTGGCGGGAAGCCTTAGCATTGAATGGTTGTGTTGTTATAGTGCGAAGTATGGAACCCTGCGCAGACAGTCGGGCAATGCAACTTAAGGAACGTGCAGTCATTGAATTTTTGACAACAGATGGTGTCACCAGGGGCGGCTCAACCCATTATGCAAAATAAGCATTTGCAGTACAGTTGATTTTGCCCAGGGGCACTCTTGAGGTGCTCTTGGGGGAAAATAGACCTTGATATATGCGAGTTGTAGTACTGGGATACATAGTTCACCTACAATCAAAGAGCATTCTGAACTCCACCAATGATGGAATTGAACCAAATATGGCACACAGAACTCCCACAACAAATAGAAAATATATATCAGTGATTGGTTGGGGGGGGGCACCAAAATACTGTTTGCTTACCGTTGAAAATTACCTAAGGCCGCCTCTGGGTGTCACCCCAAAGGAGATTCATCAGAGAATGCAAGCTGTTTATGATGACTGTGTTGATGTCTGTCGTTGGGCAAGTAAGTTTAAAGATGTTGAGGTGACACTTTCTGCTGTCAAGAATTCAATGACTGCACGTTGCTTAAGTCACATTGACTGACCGTCTGTGCAGGGCTCTATTCTTCGTACTTTAACAACACAATCGTTCAATGCTAAGGCTTCCCACCAGAATGGAACTGTAGAGGAGAGTCTATTGAACAAGCCAGTACCTGCCACATACCATTACTGCCATCTGTTAAAGAGTTATGAAGGAGGAGGCTTTACTTTTTATTCAACCTTCGTACATCTCAGAGGCTTTTGCTCTTAAATGTTTGGTAGTGCTAATACCCACCAAAAGACAGAGCTTGAAAGTAGGGCTTCTTCAACTTTTTTCATTTGTGTCCCCTTTTCACCCAATAGTTTTTTACATGACCCTGGGTATATAGGTATATTAAGTAGATAGACAAATCAAATATTTGCTGATAATAAATCATAATGAGATTTATTTTAAAAGACAAAAGCAAATTTGCATACTAATGAGATCAATGTGTTTATTTTTATATAAAGAATTGCGGCAACCCCAGAGGCACTCCAAGTGGCCAGATACTGGTCAAAGGACATTTAACCAAATACCAAATTTGCAAAATCTGTGTGGTTTTTTTTCCTTTCTTTTTTTTTCTTTTTTTTTTTAATCTCTGTGTTTGTTTTGCTCTGTTAGAATTGTAATACAATGGTTGCTGATGACACGATAAATAAATATAAAGAATTAAATCTTGGCAGAATATTTTGATACTTCAGGACGTAGAGCATCTTCAGCGTTTTTTCAGAATTGATCAGTGTTTTGATTTTCTAGTAATCAGTGTTGAGAACAACGGTTCACATAAATATATAGTACAAAATGGCAGAAGTATTTCTGATATTGTTGCAAATTCTAATTCCAAGCCAAAATTTATTTAACCTTTTTAAAAGGAAACTCAAGTTTTAAACCTAGGTCCAACTTTTAATGGCAAATTACTGATATTTTTCATTTCAAATTAGTATGCTTTATGAACCCAACTTAGTTTTTAGAGGTCCTGAAAAGATAGACATCAAGCAAATTCAGCATTTGCAAGGCTTGCTGAACAAGGTAGATTGATTTCCCCCTTTTTATGATGTACAGCTGAAGCATCTGCTGCAGAATTGTTGTTAGCAGATTCAAATCAATGTTTAAAACAGCCATAGGTGACAAAGTATTTTTGTTCATTGCGCATTCAGAAAACTTTTACTGTTGCCAATTTTTTGTGACATCCATATTAATTTATGTGAGCCCATATGGGGTCTTGAGCCACACATTAAGAAGCTATACTTTAGAATAATAATGTATGCATTTCTTAAATATATACTTGACATTTTAGGAGGGAATGCTTAAATTCTGTATATCGAAATCCTGTAGGATGTGATGTGACCCTTAGGAACATATGGCTGAGATTTTAAGGACTGCTCTTGATTCTTGTTTCATTTTCAATTTTCCAGGTCTAATTGGATCGGTCTTTTCTATGCTTCAGTTCTTTTTCTCTCCACTCACTGGTGCTGCTTCTGATTGTTTTGGGAGAAGGCCAATCATGCTGTTGACTGTGGTATGTCTGATGGGAACAAAAGGTGTGCAGTGTGCCCTCCAGCAGTTCAGTTTAGTTCTGAAATGTATTGTACAATGGTTGGGCTGTTTAGTGTAAGAAAAACACCCAGTTTCAAGCAAATTGAAACTGAATCCAGATAAGACAGAGGCGCTTATCATTAAGGATTCTAACCTTTACAGAGGTGTGTCAACCAGTTCTGAATGGGGTTATACTCCCCCGAAGGGCTGTGTTCACAGCTTGGGAGTGCTCTTAGATCCATCACTCCAAATGTCAACCCAGATAAGATGTAACCGTCAGGAGTACTTACTGCCAGCTTTGGCTGATACGCCAGCTGTGCCCCTTCCTAGATTTGGAAGACCTAAAGATGGTGGTACACAAGGTGGTAATCTCAAGGTTGGATTTCTGCAATGCACTGTATATTGGGTTACCTCTGTACCAAGTTTGTGAACTCCAGTTAGTTCAAACCATGTCAGCCAGATTGGTTATCGATACTTCTATGAATGAGCATATCACACCTATGGTAAAATCAGTCTACTGGTTGTCAATTAGTTTCTGAGCAATTACAAAATGTAAAGTCCTACATCAGTGGTTCTCAACCTGGGGTCCCCAGATGTTTTTGGCCTTCAACTCCCAGAAATCCTAACAGCTGGTAAACCGGTTGGGATTTCTGGGAGTTGTAGGCCAAAAACATCTGGGAACCCCAAGTTGAGAACCACTGTCCTACATGGTTTGGGGTCTAGGTCTATAACCTGCCCCGTACACTCAGGTCCTGTGGGGGACATTTACTTCAACCAGCTAATCAGCCTCTCCTAGTCTGTGGAATGGCCTGTTGGAAGACACTGCTATTATACCTCTGATTAATGTCTGTCTTCCGTATCTAGGACCTGCTTATTATGCTAGCTCAGTTAACACCTTGGGCAATAATCTACTAATATACCCCTAACGAACTCTTCTGCTTCCCAGAAGCATCTGGGAAATTGATGCTTCTGTTTGATGCTTTGTTTTATGTTGATATAATTTATTTGATAGGTTATGTTTAATTTCAATTTCAGTTGCTAAGTTACAATTTGTTTTTATATGTTGGGTTGTTAGTTTTCGTTATTATCTGTGTATTAGTTGTTGTGTTCAGGCATTGAATGTTTGCCTTTTTTATTGAATCCGCGCTGAGTCCCTTTGGGGAGATAGGGTGGAATGTAAATAAAGTTTTTATTTTTCTATTAAGAGATTCCGGGGGGTGGGTGGGCTGGTAGCGCAGCGAGTTAAATCGCTGAGCTGCTGAACTTGCTAATCGAAAGGTAGGTGGTTCGAATCTGGGGAGCGAGGTGAACTCTCACTGATAGGCCCAGTTTCTGCCAACCTAGCAGTTCGAAAACATGCAAATGTGAGTAGACCAACATTTATTTATTTGTTTGTTTATTTACTGTATTTGTATACCGCCTTTCTCAGCCCACAGGCGACTCAGGGTGGTTAACATGGGAAAATTCAATGCTTACAATGTCTTAAATACAATAAAAAACATAACATATAATAAAAACTGAACAAATCAATAAAATATAAATTCATAGTGTCTCCTTGTTAAAAACATTGTCTGGACTCATTGTCTAGTCGTTCCATTTTCCTGTGTCAGCTACTCTGAATTTGCAAATGCTTGTTCAAAAAGCCACGTTTTGACTTCTTTCCGGAATCTTAAAAGGGAGGCGGCCGATCTAATATCTATAGGAAGGGCTTTCCACAGCCAAGGGGCCACCACCGAGAAGGCCCTGTCTCTCGTCTCCACCAAACATACTTGTGACGAAGGCGGTAATAGGTACCGTTTCTGCAGTAATGGTGCTCCATGCAATCATGCTGACTACATGACCTTGGAGGTGTCTACGGATAACACCAGCTCTTCGGCTTAGAAAGGGAGATGAGCACCACCCCCCAGAGTCAAACACAACTCGACTTAATGTCAGGGAAAACCTTTACTCAGATTCAACAGCAAAACAAGCTGTCAAAATTTGAAACATAATTTATTTATTATTTATTATTTATTATTATTTATTTATTACTTGCACTTGTTAACCGCCACTCTCAGCCCGGAGGCGACTCGTGGCGGTGTACAAAACATAGAAAAAACAACAATTTACAATAGAACAAGACAATCATACACATATAAAAATCCGCTTCGTCTAGATTAGGGTCATAGTCAATCTCATCATCATAGTCCATTCCGGTGATCATTCCAAGGAAACATAGCACTAGCTAAAGGCCTTTTCGAAGAGCCAAGTTTTCAGGCCCTTGCGAAAGGCCATGAGGGAAGGCGCCTGTCTGATTTCAGCAGGGAGGGTGTTCCACAGCCGGGGGGCCACCACCGAGAAGGCCCGCTCTCTCGTCCCCGCCAGGCGTGCCTGTGAGGCAGGCGGGACCGAGAGAAGGGCCTCCCCGGATGATCTCAAGGTCCTCGTGGGCTCGTAGGCCGAGATGCGGTCTGCAAGGTATTTTGGGCCGGAACCGTTTAGGGCTTTGTAGGACAACAGCACCTTAAATTGGGCCCGGTAGCAGATCGGCAGCCAATGGAGCTGGAACAGCAAGGGCGTTGTGTGCTCCCTGTATCCCGCTCCAGTTAGTAACATGGCTGCCGCGCGCTGGACTAGCTGAAGCTTCCGGGCCGTCTTCAAGGGCAGCCCCACGTAGAGAGCGTTGCAGTAGTCAAGGCGGGATGTGACCAGAGCGGGTACCACCGTGGCCAAGTCAGACTTCCCGAGATACGGGCGCAGCTGGCGCACGAGCCTGAGCTGTGCAAATGCTCCCCTGGTCACCGCTGACACCTGGGGATCCAGGCTCAACGATGAATCCAGGGTCACACCCAAGCTGCGAACCTGCGCCTTCAAGGGGAGTGCGACCCCGTCCAGCACAGGCTGTAACCCTATACCCTTCGGCCTTGCGACTGACCAGGAGTACCTCTGTCTTGTCTGGATTTAATTTCAGTTTGTTCGCCCTCATCCAGACCATTACAGCGGCCAGGCACCGGTTCAGGACTTCGACAGCCTCCTTATATACTACAACTTAGGAGTAACAGAGTTGGACATCATCTGCGTACAGATGACACCGCACCCCGAAACTCCGGATGATCTCACCCAGCGGCTTCCTTTGTGTAATACTTTTTTTAAGAGCAGCATGTGTGTGGGCTCATAGTGTGAATCTCCATGCTGAGGTAACACCATTGCTGGTCATCGTCTGTGTGTTTGTTGGTGACAGGGGGGTCCCCGAATATATACTACCTTCTGGTGAGTACGGTTTCCCATCA